ATCCATCTGGACTATTGTTTGTGTAAGAGAAATAGAAAATATAAAAACTAGATGGCATAGGAAAGGTTAGAGTATAGTAGAAAATGGAAGGTAAGTGTTTAGTGCACATCAAGGCAAGCGGTAGCCAGTAGAAACCTAAGCAATGGCATTTAAGTAAAAGATTCAGAGATTCAGATATGGAATTTGATCAAGTGCAGGCAATAGAAGGAACAAGAACTAAGTCATAGAGAATGAGAACTAAGTTAGTAACTAATGTGCCAACACTTTACTTTGGTTCTTTTTGAAGCTAAGATCTAACACTCAAGCTTGCTAGGCCAGGAACTGGCAAGGAAAACTGAATAGAAGTAGCTGGCTAGAGTGGTATTACTCCTTGCTTTATGCAGGGCAGTCATAAACCAATATGGCTCCATGGGCATTGCCCCTTCAGTGTTTTTTTCTCTCTCTCTCTCCCATTGTATATTTGAGTACAATATATAGTAAGTCAAATATATCTATGTTGTATGTCTAACATGATTCTAACTGTCCAAGTATTCTTTTCTGGCTGCAGAAATTAACAACTTTGTATATTCTCAAGGAAGTTTTTTTTATAGTCCAATTTCTTGGTAGGTTTTCAGCTGGCTTTTGCAGAATTAAGATTCTTTTATAAAGCTAGAAGAATGATCCAGAATGTAGCCTAGCTCAAACGTAGCTGAATTATTTATTATACTATCCCCTTGGCATTAAGGAAGAATGATCTGATACATGGGAGCAATGTTTCAAAGAATCCATAACACTTATTGGAGGACTCTGAAATCATTTTATTATATCAACAATACTGAATAAAAGGTAACCATGGAGGAAAAATGCTTTCAGAACTTTGGCATAGGAATGTCCTGAAAACTTTGCCTGTCAGAAAAAATGACAGTTCGTGTTGTACAAGATCTGTATTCAACAAATGTTTTAACATGTCTCTCTAGGGAGGTTTTAAAAAGGAAGTCTTTGAAGGCCTATAAGTTAAGGAATTTATGAGTCAATGGCAGAAAAATATACGATTAATAGCGACAACTTCCACTTCTCTTAGCTTTAGTTTTCTGAGTACTATAGCAACTTGTTTACTAATCATGTAATGGCTAGCCTGAGAGAAATTTGACCTTTGCAGAGACCTTATGATCAAAGATCCAAACTTACTGGCTTACACATGCTTGTATCTTGCCCTTCTGAACCTTGCAGGGCTGGTGAAGTTGCAGTTATATGATATGTTGACCAAAGTCCTTTCTCTTTCCCCAAGCTGGGTGGAAAAGATCGTTCCACATGATTATGAGCCTCTCAAGAGCAGACTATTCCATTTCTGTCTTTGTGAACTGATGACCCATTTGCTTTAGCTACCTTAAAAGGAAGACACACTTTCACTTTAAGAGGGACTTTTGGAGTACATAACCCTGAAGGACTCTTAGTTTTTGTTTGTTTGTTTTGTTTTGAGGGATTTTTGCTATAGGGCAAGTCTACTTGCCAGAGAGACAGAAAGGGACAAATCACACCTCTAGCAGGGATGGCCATACCGTACCTCCATTCTCCTCTCAGGATCTTGTGCACACACACATGCACCCAGCATGAGTTTTAAGTCACCAGGTTCACAACTTGAATCATGGTCAACTACATCGGAGTCCAGTGACATAACCATTATGCCATCTGCTGGTCCCAACTCATAGTTTTTGATGTTTTTATTTCACTAAGAATAAAGCACTGTTGGTTTAGACACATATTTGCAAAACATCCTGGAAGACTTAAGTACTAAAGAACAGTCTAACATTGACTGAAAATTTCTTTTTCAAGTATAGGGAATCAGACATCACTGGAAAAGCTTTTTCAAACTATTTACTTGATTACTCATTTATTTTCTAGATGAAGGAGCGTTTTAGCTTTGGGCAACTTAACCTTAGGCTACACATACTAAAAATAGCTCAGGGAGTGAGCCCTTCTTGGCGATGTGCTTCTCTGTAAAAACAGAATTTTAATAGCTTTATCCTTAGATATAATTCATTTTCCTTCCTCTCTCCTTAGGATTGCTCTACAACGGTCACTTCTATCTTGCCTCAAAGGTGAAACATTCCTCCTTCAGTACTCTTGAGGAATTGGTTCCAGAAATGCCTGAGGATACCAAAATCTGAGGATGCTCAAGTCCCTTACATAGTGTCAGAATATTTAACTTGCTGGGATCAGCAACTGGCATAATAGCTACGTCACTGGACTCCCACATAGTTGACTGCAGTTTGAGTCCCATACACAGTGGCTTAAACTCACACCGGGCTCATGTGCATGCATGCTGAGGATCCTGAGAGAAGGGAGGAGAGGGATTGTGGCATGGCCATCCCCCCTGGGGAGTGATTTCTTGCTCTCTGTCTCTCTGTCTCTCTTTGTCTTTCTGGTGAGTGTACACATCCTATAGAAAAAACGTCTCCAAAAAAAAAAAAGAATACTTGCATATCCTCCAATATATTTTAATCATCTCTAGACTACTTTCAATATCTAATAAAATGTAAATATGATTTAAATAATTTTATACTATATTTTTTATTTGTATTATTTTTTATTGTTGTGTTCCTTTTTTTACTTGTTTTTAGGGGGATAAATTTTATTTGTGACGGGTTGAACTCACAGATGTAGAACCCATTGATATGGAGGCTAATTGTGTGTGTTGTCTGAGTCAAAAATGTTTTTTGTGGGACCAGCAGTTAGTGTAATGGCTATGTCGCTGAACTCCCATGTAGTTGACCGCGGTTCAAGTCCTGGACCTGGTGGCTTAAACTCACGCCAAGTGCATGTGCATGTGTGCCCAAGATCCCAAGAAGAGAATGGATTACAGCATGGCCATCTCTCCTGGGACGTGATTTATCACTTTCTGTTTCTTCATCTCTCTCTGTCTTTCGGGTGAGTGCATGCACCCTATAGCAAAAACCTTTCCAAAATAAAGTTTTTTGTTAAATAATTAGTTTTATTTAACTTTATTTATTCATTCATTCATTTATTTTAATTTGACCAGAGAGGGATAGAACAAGAGAGAGGGAGAAAGCGGAAGTGAGAAAGCAAGCCACCAGGTCCAGGACTTGAACCACAGTCAGCCATGTGGGAGACCAGTGTCCTTAACCACCATGCCACCTGCCGACCCAAGTAAAAAATATTTTTCTATGTGCTCTGTATTTTCTTTCCACTGTCTCCATTCTTGAGGAATAATTCAAACTATATAACTGAAGCATGCTCAAGAGAGACCAGAATGGTAAAAAGACTTCATTCATGCAAATGAGGAATGAAGAGGAGGAACTAAAGAAGTTGAATCTGGTGAAGAAAAGGTCCAGCAGGGTCATTGTGACTCATCAAACATTTGAAGTGCTGTCTTGGGGAGGAGTGCTTGAAAATATAGAACTAGGGCCAACAGTGAAACAGGAAAGCTTTCTAACAGATTGTTTTCCAAAGATAGAATGACTTTCCTTGAGATGAAATGTGATCTAGTAAGACAACTTGGGAAGATATTATGGAACGATGAGTAGTTCAATTACACAACATTTCAGCTATTTCCAATAGAGAAGCTATTGCTATCTTTATACAGATACGATATTTTTACTCAAATTCCTTCCTTGATTGACTATATATTAAGCTACAGAAAGAGATATCGTATTGCTAGTAGCTGCTTATCTTTTTCCTCAACTCACATCCCAAAAAAGTATAAATTATTTTAATGCTGTAGTCACCTTGACAATAGAGGTATCTGTTTTAATAGCTTTCAGTAACATTATTCAAAGGGCATCTATTGCCCAATGATGTAGGGAGAACAATCTTCAATGTTCTCTTTCTTTTCAAACCTCAAAGAGTCTAGGATTAAACATGTGCTTTGAAATTAAAATCACTGGAAATCTGCTGAGTAAGAGAATATTAAGTGTACTTGTCCCAAAGAATAGAAAGTTTTCACATAGTATAGTGTAGAAAAAATATATACATACATATTTTCTTGTAATGTACATGAAAAATTTCACTAACTTAAAAACATGGCTCATATTTTACAATTGTCACTCATTTCAAACAGTTCAATATGAATTTATATATAAATTTAACCCAATATATAAGGTGACGGGCTGCTGTGGAATCAGAGTTAGCAGAATCAGACATTGCACCAATCACCACCTATCCTACTTATAATTAATTATTATTAATCATGGGAAAATATTACATACGTAAAAGTTACCCCAGACAGGAAACAAAAAAGTTAAAAAGTACTGTAATGGGGAATCCATCATAGTTCTTAAACTAAAGGAATGTGGCCTTCTACTAAGGAACACAGTCTTTGACTTAAAACCACTTAGGTTACTTTTAATAACTTAATGCCTATTTCTCATAATAAATAGCATGCAACTAAATACTTTCTGCATGTAGGCTCTGTATTAAGTCCTTTACAAGCATCATCTTCTATTCTTACAACACACTGAAGAATTGATACTATTGTTTTCCCTGTTCTATATTAAGAAGTTGAAGCTTAGGGAATTATTTTTTTAAAATTTTTATTTAGTTAGTTTTAATAAAGAATTGTTTTATTTAACTTTATTTATTATTGTAGTTTTTCAGTTTGACCAAGGAGAGAGACAGAGACAGAGAGAGATCGAGAGGGAAAGTGAGAAAGCAAGCCACCAGGTCTGAGACTGGAACCAGCAATGCAGTCATCCATGTGGAAATCCAGTGCCTTTAACCACTATGCCACCTGCCGGCCCCAGATTAGGGAATTTAAATAACTTGCCCAAGGTTATACAGTCGGAATTAAAGTAGAGCAAGGAATCCAAATCTGACTCTAGAGCCTGAGCTGGTCACCCTTCCATGATGCTGTCTGCCCTGATGGCCCTACTGCTAATGTGACTTTTTTATTTAAGATAAGTTTGCACAGAAAAACAAAATTTCACTTCTTCTTTTTGGTTCCCAGTGATTTCCTTCACATGGTATGTTCAGTTGACCAGTCAAGCTTAGAAAGTCACACTCACCTCGTTTATGAAGGAGAACACTGGCATGTCGACGTCCATTTCCATTTTCAACATAACAGGAATAATTTCCCAAGTCACCTTCCTCTACAGAGTCCACAATTAATGAGATGGAAACTTCTTGTTCCCCAAGATGCTCCTTAAGAATTCTAAAATATAAAGTAAAACGAAACAAAAAAGCCACACAAACATACACATACATGAGAAAAGAAAGAAATGCAGATGAATCTGAAGTGAAAATATCTACAGAATCTGTGCTTCAAATCTGGCTATGGATTGATTCTATGTTAATTAAATTATATCATGCCCTTTTCTTCTTCACTTCTAATGAGAAAGCTTGTCTTTGTAGATGCTAATGAAGTTGCAGTTAATTATCTCTCTTAGCAGGACAATCACACTGTCATAATAAAGAGGTGAAAGAGACCTTGAAGAAAAGTTTACAAATTGCTTTCTCTTTGATAAGAAATATAACTTAAAGGTGAGATAAGAAAACTATAATGTCTTAGGCTAGAGGGTCGAATTACATATCAGGCTATATTTAAAGAAAAAAAAAGAAAAGAAAAATTCTGAGTTATTTTGACATTTCAGTTAGATCCTGCAACCTGACTTTTGTTAATGATACAGACCAATTGCCTATTTTAAAAGAGATAAGAAATTATAAACTTGTAGACTAAAAGTTCTGATAAAGCGTTTAATTCTGACATTTAAAATTAATGGTAAATGCTCACTAATTTCACTGTGATTTTATGAATCTGTCAGAGCAAATGAAAACTTCAAAAGAGGGTTTCCTTCTTTGCTCTAAATTAGTTCAGTTCACACTCTCACATGCTTGGTAAATTGTCTTTATGCAACATTCCCTTCTGCAAAATTTAAAAAACAGACCTTTCTAAAAATTTTCCTGAACACAAAATCAAAAGTGTTAAAAGTTAGGAAATGTACTGGGACCAGCAGGTATGGCATAGTGGTCGGGGAGGGACTCCAACATGGCAAACCACTGTTTGAGTTCCAGACTGGTGGCTTGAAAATCATGCCAGGTACATGTTCATGCCTCTCCAAAATCCCTGAAGGAGAATGGAGGAGACGGGATTGAGGCATGGCCATCTCCCCCAAGGGAATAATTTCTCATTTTCCCTCACACTGTTTCTTTCCTCTCTAGTGAGCACACGTGCCCTACAGAAATCTTAAAAAAAAAAAAAAAAAAAAAAAAAAAAAAAAAAAAAAAAGAGGAAGTGAAAAAAAAAGAGGAAGTGTATGGTCTTTCTTTACTTTTAACTTTTCAAAGAGTACTGGTAAAAGATAAGAGTGAAGCCTGATATATAAAAAACAGGCAGAGGAGTATTTTAGTACATATTGAAAAAATGCCCATGTAGGCCTTCTAGAATGTAAGTGGAGGATTCTAGAGTGAGATATTCTTGTATACGTGTTGCCAGTAAAAGAATCCCAATAGAAATTTCCTTATATGACAGTTTTATATATTGCTATTGAAAAACATCTCTTAAATCTTTGATAAAGTTTTTAAAGTCTTGACATTTAAAAAGAGAAACTGTGGTTAAAATGCTGATCTCTGGCATCAGCAGGTGGCATAGTGGTTATAGTACCTGCCCCAACCATCATGCTACCAGCTGGCCCTAAACTCATAATTTAATTCCATTTTTCACAAATTTTTCTAAGTCCTGTGTATGTGTGTGTGTGTGTGTGTGTGTGTCCCAAAATCCCAAGAGGAGAATGGAAGAGAAGGGACTACAATATGGCCATCCTCTGGGGGGATGATTTCTCACTTCCTCTCTGTGTTTCCAGCAAGCGCACACACCTTGTAGCAAAAAATCTCTCCAAAAAAATGGTGCTTTCTACCCAGAGGATGCAACTATTTATGGAATAACATTTAGAAATGATCATTGTGTTGACTTAGTGTAACTTAGTTATTATTACTAATGCCCTTGCTTATTTACATTACGAAAAAATATAAGTATGTCTTTCTAAGCATAATTTCAGTCAGCACTAAATAAGATTTAAAGGTAAATGAGTAAATAATATATTTTTAAAAGAGCCTTAAGAATTATTCCTTTTAAATTGACGGTACTTTAAAATGGTTATTCTCTTGGTATCAGTCCCACTATTTAACTTATAGTTTATACCTTAAAGTCAGACTAACAAAAGTGGTGAAAGCATTTTGTAGATCCTTTATTACTTCCACCTAATACTTTATATTCTACTTGGTGACTCCAATATGTAAAAACATAAAAGAAAATGACAGATTATGTATGAGTCCTCATACATTGTTAATGTTTCTTCTCAACAATTAAAGAAAAACAAAGTTCATACAAATGAAAGGCATGCTATCTATCTATCTATCTATATAATTTTGATCTCACATTCAGAATAATCCTTACTGAAACATTCATTTTTATTTCTCTTAAATTCTTTTGAACTGCCATTTATGTTTTCTCATTTCATAGCCAGTTTCTTAATAGTGTTTTATTTCTGTGCTATTAAATATAGTAGAATTTTTATTCTGATAATAGTGAAACCTAAAATAGTTCTTTCCTTTCAGCTCACTTTCTAGTCACTAACAGAGCAAGTTAAAAGAAAAAAAAAAGTTTACCTAATGTCACTTTCCCAAACTCGATTTTCATCCAGATCTTCAATAAACTTCTCCCCTTTCATCCAGTAAATTAAAGGACTGACATCTCCGCTGTACCCAAAGAAAGCTCTGCAGGTTAGATTAGCTGAGTCGCCTGTGGAGAAAAGTGATGGAAATGTGTTAGAAAACTACTTGTACACACTTACTTTAGGCGAACTGGCAGGGACTATTTTGATCACTTCGTTGATTTAATGAAACATCTTTTTAAAAGAGTAATTTTTCAGGTATTTTCAATCTTTGTCAAATTTATAGAATGTGTGCTTTATACAGCATGGCTTGTTTAATGGAAATGAGAGTTACTTCTAAGATTTTGAAGAGGACTAGACAGTTATGTTGTAGAATATTCCAATTAGGCTTGCCCGATGTTTTCTCCCAGGTAGACTGAGGTTATGAATTATTGGGAAGGATACCACAGAGGTAATTCACCCTTTGCAAAGCATTATATCAGAGGGTACAGAGTGTTGATAATTATAAGATTTTATAAGGCAAAAGAAGCTCTTTCTCTGTCTTGAAGGTGCAAAAGAGAAAGGAAGTAAAATCTTTAGCTGTAAAAGAAAAGAACTATACATCCAAGATCCCAAGAAAGTGTTATCAATTTTTTTCTCATAAGAAATAATATCCAAGATTTCAAGAAAGTGTTATCAATTTTTTTCTCATAAGAAATAATATTTTAATTAAGAAAACTGAGATATACACAGGTAGAAAAGCCCATTAAAAATGAACAGATCATGATAATAATATTTGGGATTTTTATTAGAGATAAAATCAATGATAAAATGTTGTAGAAATTAGTTTCTTTTGATATGATAACAGGAGGGCCCATCCTCATGATGAATACAGATTGGTTGATTAGTTGTTAACGGTATGTGGAAGACCTTGACTAAAGGGAGGAAGTAAATTTTATTTTTACTGGAGGTAAAGTTTATTTTAGGACAGTTCATGCAACTGTTATAAACACCTGATTTACCTAAGTCTTGGCTAGAATTAGAGATCTTAAATACTCCAGATCTTAAATACTCCAGTATATAATATTGGATTGTCAGAAAAGTCATGACACGTTTTTGCATAGAAAACGACTTCTCCAACCACCCAATAGTTTTAAGATCTTGTGGCCTTCAAGTGGGGCCAGAAATCAGGAGATTGGATAGGTCTTGTCAGAGCGACACTAGTTTGCATTGGAGAAAGGAAACTCTCAGAGATGGGTAATGTATGAGGAGCTAAAAACTAGAATGATATTCTGAGAAACTGGAATCCTCAGAGGTAAGCTCTGATTTAGTAATGAACTCCTCCTGAAAGTGTGCTTATAAGTGATTCAACACAGACAAATGCAGACTATGGGACTGAACTATGGCCTGATGGTTAAGGGTGCTAGATCCCATGTGAACAACCATGCAGTTTGAATACAGGACATGGTGGCTTGAAAAACATGCTAGGGTGTGTGTGTGCGTGCGTCCATGCATCCATGTATGTCTATGCTCAAAATCCCCAAAGGATGGAGAAGCAGCAATTGCAGCATGACCACCCTCCACTGGGGGCTGCTATCTCCCTCTCCCTATCCCCCCCACCTCTCTCTTGCACACACACACACACCCTCTAGCAATAAAAAAAAAATCAGAATGCATTTAGATTCATGCTTTCTAAGCCCAGGCATGAATATCTATAAATTCAATTCTTTTTTTTCCACTTTTTTATATTAATTTTTTATATAAATTTAATCATATTATTTAGCTTACAAAGTGAACATTTTAGTATGTGTGTGAACATTTGTCCCCAGTCCAGTTGATTATCTCCCACCCCACCAATAACACCACACCTCCCCATCCCGTCAATGCTCTCTCTCCGTATCCCTCTTCCAAATGTCCTTCCTTAGGTCCCTCTTCTCCACACACTCCACTTCTGGTACTAACCCCCATCTCTTGTGTTCAATTCTGTAAGTTCTACAACAAGAAAAATTGTATTGGATAAAATTAAAATCTTATTCTCATAACTATGTTCACTGTATAAGAATAATTCATAAAAACTATTCTTACTCTTCTAGTATTTCTAAGATAGTATGTGCTATAGTTTGAGTGTTCCCAGAGAAACTTACACTGAAACTTGACACCCAGTTGAACAATGTTAGGAGGTGGAGTCTAGTGGGAGGCATTTAGGACATGGGATGGTGGATCCCTTATGAATAGATTAAGGCTGCCTCCTGGAGGAAAAAAGTTCTAACTAATTAGTTCCCACAAGAGCCCATTGCTAGGGATCAGCAGTTAGCGTAATGGCTATGTCGCTGAATTCCCACGTTGTCAACCACGGTTCGAGTCCCTGACCCAGTGGCTTAAACTCACATGGGGTGCATGTGCGTGTGTGCCCAAGATCCCTAGAGGAGAGTGGAGGACAAGGGATTGTGGTGTGGCTATTCCCCCTGGGGGGTGATTTCTCACTTTCTGTCTCTCTGTCTCCCTCTGCAAGCCCACGCGCCCTATAGCAACAACCCCCCAAAAAAAAAAGAAAAAAAAAAAAAAGAGAGACCATTGCTATAAAGAAAACTGGCTGCACACAGGTTTTTCTTCTTTTCATAAGCACCTCCTGGGTTTTCCACTTTTCCACCATGGGGTGAAAAAGTCAAAGCCCTCACCAAGAGCCAAGCAGGTGCCAGCTCCATGACTTTGGACTTCCCAGCCTATACAATTATGAGCCAAGTAAACCTCTTTTCCTTATAAATCACTTGGTCTCAGATATTGTCATAGCAACACAAATGGACAAAGACAGCATGAAATATTGTTCTCCTTTTCTCTGATCTCTGTTCATGTCTGCATATTCTCTAAGAGGTTCCTTATGGACTTTGATGCAATATATCATAGTCATCACTGGTGACCAGATAAGGCAAGTCCAGAAAATGTCTAACAGCTTTTAAGAGCCAAAATGAGGATCCAAATAGGTTTCTTAATTATAAGTTTTTGTACATTAGTATTTTCTAAATATTTTAATATGAAATTCCCCTCTCCTTTAGAGAACATTGACATTATGAAATGGATCATTTAATGTCAATATCACTGATTGGAAATCAACCACATATTTTTATGGAAAGTGTCAACCAACATCATACACACTTTTAAATAAAATACTTTGTGTTTACATTTTTATATGAGCACAATTTGACTACCTATTACAGTGCCAAGGCATTCATGAATCAAGAGCAAGTCTCAAAATACAAAATGGTATGATGATGAATAATAATATATGCTAACAGAATCAGAGCATATTGAAGAGTTTTAAAAACATGCATGTCAAAAATGTAGACAATCTGTCTTTTAAGATATCAAGTTTTGGGGTCAGCACATGGCCTGGTAGTTAAGGCACTGGATTCCTACGTGGCCCAATGCAGTTCAAGTCCCAGAACTAGTGGTTTGAAAATCATACTAGATGTGTGTGTGTCCAAAATCCTGAGAGGAGAATAGAGGAGAAGGGGTTGTGGCGTGGCCATCCTCCCTGGGGGAGGGGTAATTTCTCACTCCACCCCCTCAAGTGTACACACCCTACGGCAAAAACCTAAAAATAAGACATCCTATTTTGGGCTGGCTCCAGAACCTAGTGGTTAAGGGAGCCAGATCCCACACAGCTGAATACAGTTTAAATTATGGCCTTGGTGGCTTGAAAAACATACCAGACTGTGTACTTCTGTGCCCGAAATCCCAACAGGATGGAGAATAAGGAATTGTAGCGTGACCATACCCTACTGGGAAGTGCCTTCCCTCTCACCCTCTCTCCCTCTCTCCTTCTCTCCCTCTCTGTCTCTGTGGAGTACATTCACCTTTTGGAAATTGAAAAAAAAAGAAAGATCGACTTTCAGATTTTAGATGAGACTTACTTCCTGGAACTCATAAATACAAATATTTACATATTTTCTAATTTTCCATTATAATTTTACTAAATATGGGACTTACACCATCAGAAACAGAGTCTGATATTCCTTAGCAGACAGCACAATAGAAGCCTTCATTGACACCTGAATTTTTCTCTAATATCACCCTTCTTTCCCAGATCAATTGACTTTCATTTCCCTGTCCATTCCCTGCACCAGCTGGTCATCTGCTGCCATACCGAGAAAATGGCTCCTGCACCCATGTAAGAAGCAGTTTGCTTTCTTTATCAACTAGGTTCACTTGGTCTTTGACCATCCACCTTGCCTCAAGCTCTAGTACTGAGAGATGCCAGTGCTACGGGGAAATCTACAAGAACTGTCTTACTTGGGCTGGGCTTGCCATTGGTCAGAGAGTAGAATTTATGCAATGAATAAAAAAGGGTGGAGAGAAGACTAGGAAAGTATTTCAGGCAGAGAGCAAAGACTGCAAGTGAGAGAAAGCCTGAAAATTTTGAGAAAGCCAAAAAATAATTTCAGAATCGCTGAAGCTGTAATGTGTATGGGAAAAGAGGGAGGATTAAGGGAAGAATAGAGCATCAATGAGGGCAGAGGAGAAGCATCCCTGTTCTTCTATGTAGGTCATGTTGACTATTTTAGGTTTTCATTTAAAGGTCAACGGGAAGCTAGAGAAAGGCTTCAAATAGGAGATTGACATAATTATATCTCCAATCTAAAGAAATGACTCTTACTATATTTTCAAACCCCAAAATATAAAGGATCAAGAAGAATCAAGAAGATTACAGTATTCTAGGATCACTTTAAGGAATAGTCACTGCCAAGACTGGATTATTCTTTTTTTTTTTTTTTAAGTTTTTGTTTTTTTAATTTTTTTGACCATAGAGTACGTGCACTCACCAGAGAGATACAGAGCAAGACAGTGAGAAATCATCCCCCGGGGGGATGGCTATGCCTCAATCCCTTTTTCATTCTCCTCCTGAGATTTTGGGTATGCATGCACACACACCTGGCATGACTTTCAAACCACTTGGGTCTGGGTCTCAGACTGTGGTCAGCCATGTGGGAGTCCAGCACCTTAACCACCATGCCACTTGCTGGCCCCTGTACATAATGTCTTATAAGGATAATGCATAGTTTGTAACAATGATCACAGATTATGCCTTTTATCAGTGTGATATTAGGAAGACTCTCAAAGCAGAGGTTATTAAATAGGAAGTCTGATAAGA